ACACGAATAATTGCGATACCCAAGAAGTAAATATGTGGACAAAAGAAAAGTCCATATCGTAAAATTTATGATTTTCTTCTGAAATTAGCATAGCTTAAAAATATCGAACGATTTCTTTGATCTTCAATTTGTAAATGATTTTTTTTTTCTGTTTTTCGCGAAAGAATTGTCGAGATCTCAGCAGAATCTTTGTTGTCAGAATTCACTTTGGATACTAACACCGAAAAATAATATCATTAAATACTTTCTTGGTGATGTCGAGCCGCATGTCGCATTATATAAAGTCTGGCACAAGGCCATCATCTAAGAAGAATTAGCATACAAATAAAAAAAAGATTTTAACAATATCACTTTGAATATCGGCTACTGGAATCGATTTCCATTGTCGATAAATCCAGATTGCAAACATAAGAAAAAAAATGAATATACGTAAGATTATGTTGCGCCAGTTTTCTAAAAAGAAAGTGTCTATCTGATTAAACCTTTCAAACAGAAAGAGCCTGATTAATTTTTCAAAATCCCGGTTTTTATACGGTTTGAATACTGATCTCTATCACTAGTCAAGACATAGGCGATTATAGCCCTCCGCAGCTTCCTTTAATATTTCTAGAAATACCTTCATGGTAATTGTTCAGATGAGGTCTTCGCTATGGATTTTTAAATTTTGTTGTTTACCCCCCCCCCAAAGAATTGTACATATAGGGATAACTTAGGCCTTCATAGAGACTCTGAGGCATTATGATGACTATAGAAAGAATGGTAAGAAAGATTGCGTTGTTTTGGTGTAAGGAATATTGTGGTATGTTTGAGACAATGATAGTGGCTAGCTTACGTTAAGATAAAAAAATACCACCCCTTTTGGCCTATTCCCACTTTTGGCAGTGTGCCATATTTTTGTAATAACATTACAAAATAAATATCGCTCTTCGCTATGGTATCTAGACTGGCACCTAGATCTCATCAATTTACGGTTGAGCTGGCTAGATGCAGCCCTAAGTTCTATGCTAACAGTTTCTTCGTTCGCACTTCTCGCTTGTGGAACTCCTTTCCGGCTCCAGCTTTAATCTTCAAAAATTTAAATGCAATGTCAATCGCCATCTACTGTCCTTCTGATTACTCTTTTCTCGTTATTAATGTTTCTGTTCCTAATTCTTACACACACCCTGTAAACCTTTGTGTCATATTTGGTTTATTGGCTTGCATGGGGTAATACCGGATAATATATATATATATTAAAGACATTTTTTATGTTTAACGTTGTTATTTATAGATACAAGTATTTAAGCAAATGCTCTGTTTATGATACACAGTATTAAATAACATTTACCGGCCTGAATGTCCGAGAAATTTTCATAGAAAATATTCGTTCTTTGACAGGATTCGAACCTGCATCCTATACGGAACCGTCATTTACGCTGACGTGCCTTACCTCTGGGCTACAAAGAACCTTTCGGTAGACAAGGTCGAATTTACTACTGTTTATCATAAACAGAGCATTTGCTTAAATACTTGTATCTATAAATAACAACGTTAAACATAAAAAAATGTCTTTAATAAATAAATTGTCGGACCTTGTCCATTTCTTAATATATATATATATATATATATATATATATATATATATATATATGTGTGTGTGTGTGTGTGTGTGTGTATAAATAAAAAGAAAGAACAGTAAGATATATAATCCGAGTTCTTATAGATATTTTTATTTTTACAAAATAGTGCTCAATGTAAATTTACAGAGCATTAATATTATAAATTAATTGATTTAAAACATGTTTTTTTTTCGCTACACAGTTCTAACTGTGTTTCAAAAATGGAATCTAAAAGCACCCAATTTAATTTTGTAATTAAATTAAAGACATTAGTTCCATTTCATCCTCAAGCGAATTTTGGAGTAACTTTTTAAAATTACTGGGTTTTAGATACACAGCTAAAACAAAATTCATGTTTCCAAGGTTACAGATAAATCTATTTTTCTAGACAAGGGGTGTCTGGGTGTTCAATATGTCTATATTTTAATGTATCAGTTATTGCTACGTTTTGGTAGTGGGTAGGGATGTATTTTTAAATGAAATCTAACTTCCGTTAAAAGCGTGTCGTCTGGATTTTTAAAAAATTATATTGTTAACGGTAAAAATTCTTACGGCATTTTTTTCCTTCGTATAGTTAAAGATTTTTTTGGGGGGGTGTTTAGGTAAGAATACTTTTTATTTAACTACGATTTGAAATATTTTTACTTTTAATTTTTAATATACTATATTTCTTTCAAGAACAACTAAATGTAATTAGAATCCCTTACAGTTTGTAGAATTATTATCACATCAAGTATATTACGATTTTTAAAAATTTTATATTTAAATATTACTAAAGTAAAATTTTCATTTCTCTGATTTAGTAAACTTTATTTATTTATTTAATTACAATTTAAAAGAAGTTTAGGTTAGAATTCATTTTAATGTACTACAATTTTAATTACAACTTTAAAATATTTTCATTATTAGTTTTTATAGATTATATTTCATTTAATAGAAGTAAAATGTATTAGAGTTACATACAGTCAGTAAAATTATTTTTCTATATCAAGTATATTTATATTACGATTTTTAAAAATTTTATATTTAAATACTTTTTAAGCAAAATTTTTTATCCATACGGCAAAAATAGCTAATTCATTTCTCTGATTTAGTAAACTTTATTTATTTAATTAATTACAATTTAAAAGAAGTTTAGGTTAGAATTCATTTTAATTAACTACAATTTTAATTACAACTTTAAAATAAACCATCTTCATGAATATTTGTGAATATGTCCTGAAGATGGTTTATTAGACGGAAACGTTAGACGTTGACATATTAACATTAAAACAGCATAATTGTATATAAGGATCTTTGTTTTGTTTTTTCCGTATATATATTTTTTTCATATATATATATATATATATATATATATATATATATATAGAGAGAGAGAGAGAGAGAGAGAGATAAATAGATAGATAAGAACAGAATATGATAGATAGATAGATAGATAGATAGATAGATAGATAGATAGATAGATAGATAGATAGATATGAGCAGAATGACATAGATAGATAGATAGATAGATAGATAGATAGATAGATAGATAGATAGATAGATAGATAGATAGATCAATCGCATCAATTTCAATTTACAGTTGAGCTAGTTAGATGTAACCGTAAGTTCTATTCTAGCAGTTTCTCCTCTCGCACTTCTCGCCCGTGGAACTCTCTACCGGCTTCTTGCTTCCAAGTCAACTTTGACCTTTAACAATTTAAATGAAATATCTCAACATTATCTTCTATATTTTTAAATTCCTGTTCTTTTATTTTTCTCTTTCCTTAATAGTGTTTTTCTTTTTCTTATATTCTTTCACGCTCAGTAACACCTTACGTCTTAGTGGCTTTATTGCCTTGCTTGAGGCGAGATGGTCGGCATTGATGGATTGAAATCTATGAGCTTTGCATAGGCTCATTAATCTTTGAATGAAAAAAATCGTTTAGAGTTCTCCTTTTTGCTTCTTTGAAACGGTCTTATTGACAAGAATTTTTACATATACAAGTTGAAAGGAACGAAAAAATGGCACACATGGAATGAGAAAATAAAAATGGCACAAAAAGAAAGAGAAAATAAAAATGGTACAAATAGAAAGAGAAGACAAAAATGGCACAAGTGGAAAGAGAAGGCAAAAATGACACAAGTGGAAAGAGAAGACAAAAATGACACAAGTGGAATGAGAAAGTAAAAATGGCACAAATAGGAAGAGAAGGCAAAAATGGCACAAGTGTAAAGAGAAGGCAAAAATGGCACAAGTGGAAAGAGAAGACAAAAATGACACAAGTGGAATGAGAAAGTAAAAATGGCACAAATAGAAAGAGAAGGCAAAAATGGCACAAGTGTAAAGAGAAGGCAAAAATGGCACAAGTGGAAAGAGAAGACAAAAATGACACAAGTGGAATGAGAAAGTAAAAATGGCACAAATAGAAAAATAAGTCAAAAATGGCACAAGTGGAAAGAGAAAACAAAAATGGCACAAGTGGAATGAGAAGGAAAAATGGCACAAATAGAAAAAGAAGGCAAAAGTGGCATAAATGGAAAGAGAAAGTAAAAATGGCATAAGTGGAATGAGAAGACAAAAATGGCACAAGTGGAATGAGAAAGTAAAAATGGCACAAGTGGAATGAGAAAGTAAAAATGGCATAAGTGGAATGAGAAGACAAAAATGGCACAAGTGGAAAGAGAATGCAAAAATGGCACAAGTGGAATGGGAAGATAAAAATGGCACAAGTGTAATGAGAAGAAAAAAACCACAAGTGGAATAAGAGGGGAAAGTAGGACAAGTGGAATGAGAAGGTAAAATGGCACAAGTGGAATGAGAAGGCAAAAATGTCACAAGTGGAAAAAGAAAAAACGGCACAAGTGGAATGAGATGAAAAAAGCACAATGAGAGAGAAAAGTCACAAGTAGAATGAAAGGAAAAATGCTACAAATGGAATGGGAGAAAAAGTCACAAATGTAATGAGAGGGGAGAAAAGGCACAAATGGAATGAAAGGAGAAAAGGTACAAGTGGAATGAGAGGGGGAAAAAAGCACAAGTGGAATGAGAGGGGGAAAAAGGCACAAGTGGAATGAGAGGGGGGAAAAGGTACAAGTGAAATGAGAAAAGAAACATGGAACAAATGCGATGAATAGACAAAAATGGCACAAGTGGAATGAGAGGAAAAAATGACCAGTGAAATGCGAGAAAAAGTCACAAATTTAATGAGAGGAAAAAGGCACAATTGGAATGGAAGGAAAAACTGGCACAAGCTGAATGAGACGAAAAAATGTTACAAATAGAATGAAAGGAAAAAAAGACACAGTTAAATTTACTTGCCATTTCATGACGCTAAGATGCCATTCCAAAGCTTACCATCCATGGAACACCGCGCTTCTAGATCCGCTCTTCTTGGTCCGCTGTTCCACACAACAAAACATATATCTTGATTTCTTTTATAAAATATTTGATTTCAAAATATATTTATTTTATTTTCTGATATATTTCCAGAAAAAAAGAGCATTACATAGGGTAGATCAACTAGTTTTAATATAATAAAGATTTCTACAGATATTTGGAAATATCATTTTAGAGATGCCGTTATTACATGTCGTTCCAATAAAGTAATTTATCGATCTGAATACGAGACAGGATCAAAGGCAATATTTTCTTATAAGCACACTGTGAAGTCATTTCCATAGGAAATTATATGGACTCCCATTAAATTTATAAAGGATGAAATATCAAATAATATCGAACCGTAAATAGTTAAGGAATCTTTATCAAGAATAATATGCCTGCGCACATTGCAAGTGAAATTAGAATTCTTAGTCCGCCATGATTTTGAACAGCATGTGCAGACAGAATGTCTTACGAAGTATTTACCTTCACCCTTTGTTTCCTTACACAACGTGTGTGTTTCGAACGAAAACGTAGAAACAAGATATTAAAACGTGGCAAAAATCACGAATTATATACCATAATTTCTCGAAAATAATACGCATTTTTTTTACTGTAAATTACAGGTGATAGTAGGGGTGCGTATTATACATAGGTTTAAACAAAAATATTTTTTCGCTATTGATTTATAATAATAAATACCTACTTGTTCTAAAATAGGAAATATATTATCACAATTTTCATTTTAAATTCAACAATAATAATAACATTTTTTGTCAATAAATTTGTTTATCAGTAACCGCAATTTTTATTTGGTGAAAAAAAAAAATCTATAAAAAAGCCAATTTTGAAGAACTTATGGAACATCCACTTGATCGTCTTCCTTTCACAAATTCAACTAAACTTTGTTTCATATCTGGATATTGAGATTTTCTTCCTCTACGTACAACTTTGACACTTGATTTACACATTTTTGTTCATTTTTATTCTTTCGCCATAAAAATATGTTTAACCTCATTCTACTCATATTCTCGAGTTGCAGTTCTGTTTCATATTCTTTCTGCTATTATTTTTTGTTTCAATTTTTTTTTTTTTAGTTATTAGTTATTCCCAAAAAGATTTCGCTTGAAGATGGAACAGAGCTTGGTACTTTAATTCAATTTAATTCAAATAATTATATTGAAGTTTTTTTATCTTGTGTTTTGAAAACATGAGAACTCTTTTATATATATGGAATCATATTTTAAATAAATAATATATATATATATATATATATATATATATATATATATATATATATATATATGTGTGTGTGTATGCATATATAAATAAATTTTCAAGAGGGAGGAATCCAGGTAGAACCCAGTGTTCAGGACAGAGTAATAATATAATATTATAACCATGGAATATTAGTGTTTGAGCCTTTCTTTAATTATTTATTTTATATATATATATATATATATATATATATATATATATATGAATGATATGAATACATCCAGTGGGTGCGCAAGATCGCCTCATCAATAATGTTATGACAAGTTTCGGGTCTTTCAACATTATACTTGTTCACCCTAGAGCTCCTACCGAAACAATACCTATTCCAGCAAGCGATTTTGAAGCAAAAATCTGCCAAGAACACACCAACGGACATGTTATTTATTATTGTATACAAGTAAAATAATTTTGGCACATGGCCGAAGGGGAAATAGGGAAACGGCTAATCTTCGCTAATTATCCTAGTCCTAGTTAATCCCGATCATGACCCATTCATCCAAATACAATTGATCCATTTACCACAAGAACTCATTCATCACCATTTAATCCTACATGCACCATAATACCACATAGTCACAGGGGGGACCTATAAAACATCTCATGACACAACAACGAACATATTAAATAACTGCTACTGCTGATCTTGAAATCGCAAGCGACCAATCAGTAACGCCCTACGTCACTTCCTCCTCAGCGAAGACGAGACAAAAAAGAGAACAAAATGGGTGCTCGTCTTTTCCCACTTGGGTCAAACATGACTGCCACTCTCAACGAGCACTGCTTAACATAACAGGTAAGTAATTTCTACTTGTCACCAGGAAATTTTTTTTAATCTCCTATGAAACGATACTTCCCTAAAAAAAAAATATTCATACACATTCGCTGATCATAGCAATTATGATCAAAAACGTTTCTTGCTTTTCTTTTTACTCCGCTCCACTTTTTCCCCCTCCACTTCTTGGACAAAAAAAAAAAGTGGTCGTTGAACAGGTTAAAATAAAAAAAAATATATATATATATATATATATATATATATATATATATATATATATATATATATATATATATATATATTGGTGTTCGCTTGACAACCCAACTTGGTGAGAGAAGTCGTGGCTCCAGGGGCACAGTCCTATGGTCACAGAGAACTCAGTTGAGTTCCGCCACGGAATATGTAAGCGAGCGGCGCTAAGTTGAGTCTGATTTGGAATCTCTTTTTCGTTACCGAGGCCCATTTGAACAGTTTGTATGATGTTCGCTTGACAACCCAACTGTCAGGGTTCGATACTCGGTAGTGGATGCGCACTGCTGATGAGTCCCAAATATAGGACGAAACGGCAGGCCAATGCTTCCGGCATTCTGTAGAGGTTCCTATCAGACTCGATGAATTAATTAAATATCATATATATATATATGTGTGTGTGTATATATATATATATATATATATATATATATATATATATATATATACAAACACACACACACACACACATATATATGAAGAAATATAGTCTTAAGTTGTGCTATATTTATGGGATAAAGTGCTCAATATCAGAGACAGAGCGTGTGTAAATATAAAAGGGGCATAGAAGTCAACACTTAGAGGCGACAGTCTGTTTCATATTAGACGCATTCGTTAGGCCACAAGTGCTGCTTTTTTTCTCTCGGCTGTTTATATATACGGGTCAGTGATGCATTGTGGGTAGTCTATTTTGCTCGAAGTCGTTTAACCCAAATAAATAAATAAACGACTCCCGGCAAAATAACCGCCAAAATAGACTACACACAATGCAGCACTGACCCGTATATATAAATAGCCGAGAAAAAATGAACAGCACTCGTGGTCTGAAGATTGCGTCTAGCATGAAACAGACTGTCACCTGTAAGTGTTGACTTCAATGTTCACTTATATATATATATATATAGAGAGAGAGAGAGAGAGAGAGTTCGTCCCAAAAATGTATACATACTTCAGGAAAGGAGAAACTTGTCTTTCAAATTGCGATAACCCTTGCTGTAGGAGTCCGTGTTGAGTCTGAGGCCCTAACCAACAAATTAGGGATTTCTGTTCTTATCAGAACGATTCGAGTGAGTTTTCCGATCTGCCGTACTTTCGTAATCACCATTAGACTCATCCAACTCTTTCCTAATCGTCTGTGTGCACTGTCTTCAGATTGACACCCAAATACTCTGAAGTGTTCATCGTGGAGCTTCCGGTGTGAAATCCAAGCAGTAAAGCATACCGTTTCCAAATTTCTGGCGCATTGAATTGCGTCATGGCGCTCTTTTTCTGACAGACGGTGGCCAACTGACTCTACTGTACTGTGCAGTCGACAAAATCAAGAACAAACAATGCGCATGCGCGAAATTAAAAATATAAAATGGCGACAATTTTCCCATTACATCTTGTATAAGGACAGCTAAAGTTCTCTTATACATGTTTTATTTAATTGAGAAGGAAAGTTTTTTTTCTAAAAAATGTTTTTTTTTTCATCCAGTTTTCTAATGTTCTTGCGATTTACCTTTTATGACACTAAAATAGTGGAGTAAATATCCAATGCTTTTTTAGTCAATTCGTTAGTTATTTTCAAGTTGTTTCAAGGGTTTTTTTTCGAAGTATTATTAATTCTAAGCAGTGCTGACTGGAAGTAGTATTAATTCCTTGTTGGGTGTGTCTTTGAAAGACCACGAAGACGTTTCGCCCTATTTCAAAGGAGATAAGATATTCAATTATCTTTAAATGTTCTTATGGTGCGTGTGTGTCATGTACCAGGATTTTTCTTATGGGAACAGACAGTTGACTATGAGTGTTTTAATGTTTCCTTATTGAACTCAGGTCGCTTAAGTTTTATGACAGTCTACGACTTAATGAGATCTTCGTCTGGTCAATGTAGAAAAATTATAGATGCATCTCGTCGTCTGTGTTCCTAGCCTTGGTTGGCCACCGGTCTAGAAGAATAACACTGCATTATTATTATGATTATGCATGGAGCTAAGTACCACATCCCGTAAAAACCTACTTGCTAAGAAACCGGAAGAGCAACACCCAGCGTGTTCAGAGCATTGGCTTCATAATTTTGAGTCAGTGATATATATATATATACTAGCCGAATTACTCGCGCCTGGCTGCGTGTTACACATTATTGTAAGAAAATGGTAATTGATTTTAAATCATTGTTATAATTTGTGGAGAAAAATAATGCACTTCAGTATTACTCAATAATCTTGGCGATGTGACCTCGATTTTCTGGCTTTCTCCTTCTATATTTTGGATAGAAGTCATTGTCTGTTTCAAATTTAACCTTAATTTAAATCAAAGTGAAAAATTTCAGTGGTTGGTTTGTACAAAAACAGATTGATCTGACTCCATTGTTATGTATTTGGTGTATTCAGTGAATTGATGAGCAGATTTCAACATTGATATGACAGTTGAATTGCAGCAACAAATATGTATTGTAAGAAACTATCAGCTGATTGGTGATTTTTTGCTCAATTTGGCGTCCATAGTGTCTCATTTTGATCTTGCTGATGTGACCTCCATCTTCTGGGTTTCTCCTTCTATATTTTGGATAGAAGTCATTCTCTTGTTCAAATTTAAATTTAATTTAAATCGAAGAGAAAAAAGATTCAGTGTTTTTTTTTTTGTCCCCCGCGAACCCCTTTGATTAAAATGAAAAATACTTATCCAAGTACCTTGGGTAATGTAGTTTCATAATATATATGGTTATCGAGGTCTATCTCCAAAACCATAGAAGTAGTTTGA